GGAGAAATAGACTCAGTTGAAGTGGCCATGTCACTTGATGGCTCACTCTTCAGAGGCCGACCACTGAAGGTAAGGCCTAAGCGTACAAACCTGCCAGGTATTACCACCAGACATCGACCTCCACGTGTCATGAGAGCTGTCGTCCGTGGGCGAGGACGCTTTTATTCTGGATATCGACCAATGAGACCATACAGGAGCCGGAAGGTCTTCTACAGCCCTTATTAATGGTCATACATTGCATGGAAGATTCCTACTTCCACTATTGGTTTACTAAACGATATTAGAATTAGAACTCAAATACAATACAATTATTTTTATGTAAATAATTAATAAAAATTAATTAAAAATATTTTGTTTCACATACCAATTATAATTAATATAATGTTAATAAATAGATGTAAACGCATCCAATTTATCCTACAACTACAGTTGTTGTTTTCGATTCAGTTATTCAGAATATAATTTCCATGTAGTAGGGGCTATAGTGAGCTCGTAATTGAGTTCGGTTAATCACAATAAGCTTGTTACTGTGATATCTGGGTCATAGTTATAAATAAAGGCAGAATTTCCTTCTTTTTGTACTGATTTAAGCTTTTGTTGGAATTACGTATTCTTGGTGGTGGATATAGAACGGAATAATGAAACGAAAGCTTGAAAGACGAGTACCCAGTGGCATGTTCGTACCATATAGCAGTGGATTGTCCTTCTGCTACTTTAGCTCTGTGGCGAGTTGTGAGTATTTTCTTCCCAATATGCTCCTTAATCTGTGAAAAACTTAGATATTTTAACCTTTACAACACAAGGTAGAGCAGTGGCAGTATTTGCTAGTCTAACATTTCATTGCCAAATTGGATACCAATGTGACTTGGTATCCAATTTAGGGTGATTGACAGCATTAAATTGTGGGCTTCTTTTCCTAGATGTAGTATTTCTGTGATGGGTTGTATATTATCTCTGTGCTGGCTGGATAACAATGCCTGGAGCGAAGATTTAGAGTCGGTATGAATGATGACATCATGCAGACGAGGAGTCACAACAACGAAATATGTTGACCAAACCACTCACTAGAAAGTGAAGGGACGACGACATTTCGGTTCATCCTGAACCATTCTTTTTGTTGATTGTGTTGAAAAGTTGATTGTGATACCCACGACAATCGACTTGAAAATGGATCGAAACGTCGTCACTTCACTTTCTAATGTGTGGTTTGGTCAACAGGACATCATGTAAATTATTCTCAATAGTATAATTATTGCCTCCTTCAGAGCATATAATTCTGTTTGCAATGTTGAGCATCCACTATTTATGCTCTAGTAATCATCATGGTTGTTAATGTAAACTGCTGCCCCAGCAGAACCTCTTTCTTTATCAACTGATCCGCACACTATGTGGGTGGGGGACGAGGACAGGTTGACTAGTCTGACAGTTACGGGATGATATTATTAAACAAATAGTCAAAACTCAAACGAAACAAGTACCCAGTTTGCGACGGTGCTTAAAGAATGCGAAGAGGAGCTTTGCGATCCATTGCATACCATATTTAATAAATCATTAGAGTAAGGCAGAGTGCCAGAGTCGTGGAAGGTTGCTAATGTGGTACCAATTTTTAAGAAAAGAGATAGATCACTTGCATCAAACGATCGGCCAATCAGCCTAACGTCTATTGTGGGAAAGCTACTTAAGAACATAAGAACATGGGCAAGATATAGCTGAAGAACAACACCAGGTGTCTTGTTACTAACGCTTCGATTAATAAATCCCAGTGTCCTATTTGCCTTATTACGAACATTCATGCATTGATCCTTATGTTTTAAATTCTTACTAATCATAACTCTCAGATCCTTTTCGCAATCTCAACACCAACTAGCTCAAATCTTGTAACTTTATCATCATTACCTAGCCTCAGAACATTACATTTATCAACATTAAACTGCATCTGCCAATCTTTTGACCATTTCAAAACCCTATTTAGATCAACTTGAAGTGATAGTGAGTCTTCTTCCGTGTTAATTTCCCTACTGATTTTTGTATCATCTGCAAATTTGCAGGTGTTGCTACTCAAACCTGACTCTAAATCATTTATATATATTATAAACAACAGAGGTCCCAGGACAGAGCTTTGAGGCACTCCACTAACAACATTAACCCACTCTTACTTAACCCCAGTTAAGAGTTAGAGTTAGTATAAATATACTAACTCTCTGTTTCCTTTGGAATAACCATGCCCTAATCCAACTTAATATAGCATCCCCAATACCATGAGCCTCTATTTTTTAATCAGTCTTTCATGTGGCACTGTATCAAAAGCTTTGCTAAAGTCAAGGTACACAACATCACAATCCTTACCACTATCAACTGCCTCAACTATGCTGGAATAAAAAGATAGCAAATTTGTTAAACATGAACGGCCATTTGTAAAATCATGTTGCAAATCATTTATTAATTTATGTTTTTCCAGATGAAGACGAATTGTATTTGCAATTATCGATTCAAGTAACTTTCCCACAATAGACGTTAGGCTAATTGGCTGATAATTTGACCCAAGTGATCTATCTCCTTTCTTAAAAATTGGTACCACATTAGCTACCTTCCATGACTCTGGCACTCTACCTAACTCTATTGATTTATTAAATATGGTAGACAATGGCTCGGAAAGCTCCTCTTTGCATTCTTTAAGCACCCTGGCAAACACTTCATCCGGCCCTGGGTATTTTTTGGTTTGAGTTTTACTATTTGTTTAATTACATCCTCCCTGGTAACTGCTAAACTAGTCAACCTGTCTTCGTCCCCACCCACAAATATTTGTTCGGCTGAAGGCATATTTTTAAGTTCCAAAAAAACTCAAAATTTGAGTTCCAAAACTCAAAAAAAACTTTAGGATTTGTCTTTGCTTGCTCTGCTATGCGAACTTCGTAGTTTCTTTTTGCTTTCCTTATCTCTGTTTTAACATTTCTAACCAGTTGTACGAATTCCTGTCCTAAACTAACTTCCCCATTCTCAATCCTTTTGTACCACGCTCTTTTTACCTATAAGGTTCTTCAGATCCTTTGTTATGCACTTTGGATCATTAGTATTCGATCTATTCGTATAGTCTCCGTGGTGTAGTGGTAAGAAACTCGCCTATCGTTCCGCGAGCGCTTTGTCATGGGTTCGTATCGTATCCTGGCCGGGAGGATTTACTGGGCGCAAATCCTTAACTGTAACCTCTGTTTAACTCAACAGTAAAATGAGTACTTGGTTGTAAAAATGATTCTTCGCTGCGGGGATCGTATTCCAGGGACCTGCCCGAAACGCTACGCGTACTAGTGGCTGTACAAGAATGTTACAACTCTTGTGACAAAAAAAAGAACAAAAATCAATTTATATGGTATACTACGTTCCTGGGCTTTGCTTAGAATATTTTTAAATAGGTTATATTTTGAATCTACATCGAAATCCCCTTTTCCAATTTATACCCATTGTTTTGTGTTCTGTCTTGTGTTGATACTTTTAATACCCTATTAATATCTCCTTTGTTATGTCCATTCATCTACTTGTAAACCTCTATCATGTCACCCCTAACTCTTCACCTTTCCAGTGAATGCAATTTAAGCTTTGTTAATCTTTCTTCATATGAAAGCTTTCTAATTTGGGAAATTTGCTTAGTTATTCTACGCTGGACACGTTCAAGTGAATTTATATCCGTTCTATAGTACGGCGACCAAAACTGAACTGCATAATCTAAATGGGGCCTAACCAGAGCAAGGTATAGCTGAAGAACTACAATAGGTATCTTGTTACTAACGATAATTGATTCATTTGAGGCATCACGCTATTGTGATTACTGTGTGTAATGATCGTATAATTACACGATACGAGCTAGATAGTTTTGAGATTGCGAAGTTGGATTGCCGAAGGGATATGTGAGTTATGATAATTAAGAATTAAAAACCAAATAATCAATGCATAAATGTTCGTATCAAGGCATACAGGACACAGGGATTTATTAATCGTTACTTTATTAATAAGGTACCTGGTGTTATTCTTCAGCTATGTCTTGCTCTTGTTAGGCACCATTTAGATTATGTATTTCAGATTTGGTCGTCGTAATGGATATTCGTTCTATAGAATGGATATAAATTCACTAAAACGCGTCCAGCATAGGATGACAAAGTTAATCCCCCAAATTAGAAACCTTTCATATGAAGAAAGATTGACAAAGCTTAAATTACATTCTCTAGAATAGCGAAGAATTATGGATGACATGACTGAGGAGTACAAGTGGATGAATGGACATAACAACGAGGATATTAATGCGGTAATAAAAGTATGAACACGAAAGGCGAAGAGTTAGGGGTGACATGATAGAGGTTTACAAGTGGATGAATGGACATAACAGGGGGGATATTAATAGGGTATTAAAAATATCAACACAAGACAGAACACGAAACAATGGGTATAAATTGGATAAGTTTAGATTTAGGAAAGATTTGGGTAAATACTGGTTCAGTAACAGGGTTGTTGATTTGTGGAACCAATTGCCGCGTAACGTGGTGGAGGTGGTGTCCCTCGATTGTTTCAAGCGCGGGTTGGACAAGTATATGAGTGGGATTGGGTGGTTATAGAATAGGAGCTGCCTCGTATTGGCCAATAGGCCTTCTGCAGTTACCTTTGTTCTTATGTTCTTATAGGTTAGACATATGAATGAGTTTGGGTATGACTCTTAATAAGACATGAATAAACAGCAGCTCCAACGTATTGGCAAATATCCCTTCTGCAGTTTCCTTGATTCGTTTATTCTTAAGTTTTAAGTTACGTCTGCAGGTTTTACAGAATTATGTACTCCCACATCGAGCAATAAACAAGTAGCGGTTTAACCACGTCAGGTGTACGGGAATATATGGCCTTCTGCCCTCTGCATAGGACCATTCTCCACACAGCTCAGCCAGTAGCAACACCTCGGGTCTGCCACCAGCCGCACTACTCTCTACAGCTAATCACGACGCTATCTCATATTTTGTTTACTCACCAACCTCATCATCAACAGGGCATTTGTCACTATTCGTTGTCATATCCCAGTCATCTCTATTTCCTGTGACGATGGAAAATGAAGAACTGATTTATGATAATGTTTACAGTAGCGGCGAAGACGAGAACTCTGAAGGTGGAGGAGAGGAGGACACGTCTGTTGAAACAAAACTGTTGGAAATTAAAGCTTATATCAGAAAAATGGAAGAATTGGGGATGGATTCACCTCTAGGCACTGCAGGAGCAACAGTACCAATCCAGATGTCTGCTAAAGAAAAGATAGAAGTCGATGGTCGCTCCATATATGTGGGTAATGTTGACTATGGGGCGACAGCAGAAGAACTTGCTCAACACTTTCATGGATGTGGTCCCGTTAAAAAAGTTACTATTCTTTCAAATAAGTATACTGGCCACCCCAAAGGCTTTGCATATATGGAGTTTGGAGAAATAGACTCAGTTGAAGTGGCCATGTCACTTGATGGCTCACTCTTCAGAGGCCGACCACTGAAGGTAAGGCCTAAGCGTACAAACCTGCCAGGTATTACCACCAGACATCGACCTCCACGTGTCATGAGAGCTGTCGTCCGTGGGCGAGGACGCTTTTATTCTGGATATCGACCAATGAGACCATACAGGAGCCGGAAGGTCTTCTACAGCCCTTATTAATGGTCATACATTGCATGGAAGATTCCTACTTCCACTATTGGTTTACTAAACGATTTTAGAATTAGAACTCAAATACAATACAATTATTTTTATGTAAATAATTAATAAAAATTAATTAAAAATGTTTTGTTTCACATACCAATTATAATTAATAGAATGTTAATAAATAGATGTAAACGCATCCAATTTATCCTACAACTACAGTTGTTGTTTTCGATTCAGTTATTCAGAATATAATTTCCATGTAGTAGGGGCTATAGTGAGCTCGTAATTGAGTTCGGTTAATCACAATAAGCTTGTTACTGTGATATCTGGGTCATAGTTATAAATAAAGGCAGAATTTCCTTCTTTTTGTACTGATTTAAGCTTTTGTTGGAATTACGTTATCTTGGTGGTGGATATAGAACGGAATAATGAAACGGAAGCTTGAAAGACGAGTACCCAGTGGCATGTTCGTACCATATAGCAGTGGATCGTCCTTCTGCTACTTTAGCTCTGTGGCGAGTTGTGAGTATTTTCTTCCCAATATGCTCCTTAATCTGTGAAAAACTTAGATATTTTAACCTTTACAACACAAGGTAGAGCAGTGGCAGTATTTGCTAGTCTAATATTTCATTGCCAAATTGGATACCAATGTGACTTGGTATCCAATTTAGGGTGATTGACAGCATTAAATTGTGGGCTTCTTTTCCTAGATGTAGTATTTCTGTGATGGGTTGTATATTATCTCTGTGCTGGCTGGATAACAATGCCTGGAGCGAAGATTTAGAGTCGGTATGAATGATGACATCATGCAGACGAGGAGTCACAACAACGAAATATGTTGACCAAACCACTCACTAGAAAGTGAAGGGACGACGACATTTCGGTTCATCCTGAACCATTCTTTTTGTTGATTGTGTTGAAAAGTTGATTGTGATACCCACGACAATCGACTTGAAAATGGATCGAAACGTCGTCGTCCCTTCACTTTCTAATGTGTGGTTTGGTCAACAGGACATCATGTAAATTATTCTCAATAGTATAATTATTGCCTCCTTCAGAGCATATAATTCTGTTTGCAATGTTGAGCATCCACTATTTATGCTCTAGTAATCATCATGGTTGTTAATGTAAACTGCTGCCCCAGCAGAACCTCTTTCTTTATCAACTGATCCGCACACTATGTGGGTGGGGGACGAGGACAGGTTGACTAGTCTGACAGTTACGGGATGATATTATTAAACAAATAGTCAAAACTCAAACGAAACAAGTACCCAGTTTGCGACGGTGCTTAAAGAATGCGAAGAGGAGCTTTGCGATCCATTGCATACCATATTTAATAAATCATTAGAGTAAGGCAGAGTGCCAGAGTCGTGGAAGGTTGCTAATGTGGTACCAATTTTTAAGAAAAGAGATAGATCACTTGCATCAAACGATCGGCCAATCAGCCTAACGTCTATTGTGGGAAAGCTACTTAAGAACATGGGCAAGATATAGCTGAAGAACAACACCAGGTGTCTTGTTACTAACGCTTCGATTAATAAATCCCAGTGTCCTATTTGCCTTATTACGAACATTCATGCATTGATCCTTATGTTTTAAATTCTTACTAATCATAACTCTCAGATCCTTTTCGCAATCTCAACACCAACTAGCTCAAATCTTGTAACTTTATCATCATTACCTAGCCTCAGATCATTACATTTATCAACATTAACCTGCATCTGCCAATCTTTTGACCATTTCAAAACCCTATTTAGATTAACTTGAAGTGATAGTGAGTCTTCTTCCGTGTTAATTTCCCTACTGATTTTTGTATCATCTGCAAATTTGCAGGTGTTGCTACTCAAACCTGACTCTAAATCATTTATATATATTATAAACAACAGAGGTCCCAGGACAGAGCTTTGAGGCACTCCACTAACAACATTAACCCACTCTTACTTAACCCCAGTTAAGAGTTAGTTTCCTCTGTTTCCTTTGGAATAACCATGCCCTAATCCAACTTAATATAGCACCCCCAATACCATGAGCCTCTATTTTTTAATCAGTCTTTCATGTGGCACTGTATCAAAAGCTTTGCTAAAGTCAAGGTACACAACATCACAATCCTTACCACTATCAACTGCCTCAACTATGCTGGAATAAAAAGATAGCAAATTTGTTAAACATGAACGGCCATTTGTAAAATCATGTTGCAAATCATTTATTAATTTATGTTTTTCCAGATGAAGACGAATTGTATTTGCAATTATCGATTCAAGTAACTTTCCCACAATAGACGTTAGGCTAATTGGCTGATAATTTGACCCAAGTGATCTATCTCCTTTCTTAAAAATTGGTACCACATTAGCTACCTTCCATGACTCTGGCACTCTACCTAACTCTATTGATTTATTAAATATGGTAGACAATGGCTCGGAAAGCTCCTCTTTGCATTCTTTAAGCACCCTGGCAAACACTTCATCCGGCCCTGGGTATTTGTTTGGTTTGAGTTTTACTATTTGTTTAATTACATCCTCCCTGGTAACTGCTAAACTAGTCAACCTGTCTTCGTCCCCACCCACAAATATTTGTTCGGCTGAAGGCATATTTTTAAGTTCCAAAAAAACTCAAAATTTGAGTTCCAAAACTCAAAAAAAACTTTAGGATTTGTCTTTGCTTGCTCTGCTATGCGAACTTCGTAGTTTCTTTTTGCTTTCCTTATCTCTGTTTTAACATTTCTAACCAGTTGTACGAATTCCTGTCCTAAACTAACTTCCCCATTCTCAATCCTTTTGTACCACGCTCTTTTTACCTATAAGGTTCTTCAGATCCTTTGTTATGCACTTTGGATCATTAGTATTCGATCTATTCGTATAGTCTCCGTGGTGTAGTGGTAAGAAACTCGCCTATCGTTCCGCGAGCGCTTTGTCATGGGTTCGTATCGTATCCTGGCCGGGAGGATTTACTGGGCGCAAATCCTTAACTGTAACCTCTGTTTAACTCAACAGTAAAATGAGTACTTGGTTGTAAAAATGATTCTTCGCTGCGGGGATCGTATTCCAGGGACCTGCCCGAAACGCTACGCGTACTAGTGGCTGTACAAGAATGTTACAACTCTTGTGACAAAAAAAAGAACAAAAATCAATTTATATGGTATACTACGTTCCTGGGCTTTGCTTAGAATATTTTTAAATAGGTTATATTTTGAATCTACATCGAAATCCCCTTTTCCAATTTATACCCATTGTTTTGTGTTCTGTCTTGTGTTGATACTTTTAATACCCTATTAATATCTCCTTTGTTATGTCCATTCATCTACTTGTAAACCTCTATCATGTCACCCCTAACTCTTCACCTTTCCAGTGAATGCAATTTAAGCTTTGTTAATCTTTCTTCATATGAAAGCTTTCTAATTTGGGAAATTTGCTTAGTTATTCTACGCTGGACACGTTCAAGTGAATTTATATCCGTTCTATAGTACGGCGACCAAAACTGAACTGCATAATCTAAATGGGGCCTAACCAGAGCAAGGTATAGCTGAAGAACTACAATAGGTATCTTGTTACTAACGATAATTGATTCATTTGAGGCATCACGCTATTGTGATTACTGTGTGTAATGATCGTATAATTACACGATACGAGCTAGATAGTTTTGAGATTGCGAAGTTGGATTGCCGAAGGGATATGTGAGTTATGATAATTAAGAATTAAAAACCAAATAATCAATGCATAAATGTTCGTATCAAGGCATACAGGACACAGGGATTTATTAATCGTTACTTTATTAATAAGGTACCTGGTGTTATTCTTCAGCTATGTCTTGCTCTTGTTAGGCACCATTTAGATTATGTATTTCAGATTTGGTCGTCGTAATGGATATTCGTTCTATAGAATGGATATAAATTCACTAAAACGCGTCCAGCATAGGATGACAAAGTTAATCCCCCAAGTTAGAAACCTTTCATATGAAGAAAGATTGACAAAGCTTAAATTACATTCTCTAGAATAGCGAAGAATTATGGATGACATGACTGAGGAGTACAAGTGGATGAATGGACATAACAACGGGGATATTAATGCGGTAATAAAAGTATGAACACGAAAGGCGAAGAGTTAGGGGTGACATGATAGAGGTTTACAAGTGGATGAATGGACATAAGAGGGGGGATATTAATAGGGTATTAAAAATATCAACACAAGACAGAACACGAAACAATGGGTATAAATTGGATAAGTTTAGATTTAGGAAAGATTTGGGTAAATACTGGTTCAGTAACAGGGTTGTTGATTTGTGGAACCAATTGCCGCGTAACGTGGTGGAGGTGGTGTCCCTCGATTGTTTCAAGCGCGGGTTGGACAAGTATATGTATCATAGCAATATGGAAGTTGTAGTGAAGGACCTGGTGACTCTAGTGGGAGCCCTGAGGACAGAGTTGGACTCTCTGCGGGAGGAGGTGCGTCAGCTTAAAAAACAACGAGAAGTAACGAAGGAGGAGACCAGCAGTAAAGGGACCTCGTCTTGGAGAGTTGCGAAAGACAGGGGCCTTAAGAAGACTTTGATAAAGCCGCCTTCAAACGCCATAGCAACTTCAAATTCATTTGACGTTTTGGAGGACGAGTGCTGTGGAGAGACTGTGGATCGCGCAAAAGGGAAAGCAACGAAGAGAAAGGAAGCGCAGGCCCCTCAGAAAGTAAAGGAAGTACTTAAGCAAACATTAGTTGTGGGAGATTCCCAGATAAGGTATTTGGATAGAACGTTTTGTGCTAGAGATAGGGGGAACAGGTTAAGGGTTTGCTATCCCGGAGCTGGCATTGGTGATATTATAAACAACATGAATGATATTATGGCTGGTAATGGGAACAATCCCATTATTTGCATTAGCGTGGGAGGAAATGATGTTGGTCGAGTCAGGAGTGAGGAACTGATTCAGAGGTATAAAACAGCCATAGAGTTAGTTAGGAGCAAGGGAGGAATCCCGATCATATGTGGCATTCTTCCAAGAAAGGGAGTGGGAAATGAATGGATATCGAGGGCACTTGGTGTCAATTGCCGGCTGGAAAGATATTGCAAA